CGAAAGCAGGATGAACATGCTGTCAGCGTTATTCAACGCGCTTTGGAAAGGACGATGCTCGGAATTTCCCTATACACGCAAGTGCAGAAGGGAATCCGGAGTTCCGAGCTCCGTCACCGAACGAAGATCAGGGATGCCGTTGATTACGCCAAGAAATCGAAGATCAGGTGGGCCGGACACGTTATGCGATATAGTGATGACCGTTGGACCAGGGCGGTTACTGACTGGGTCCCTCGAGACGTGAAACAAACACCAGGACGGCCGCCAACGAGATGGTCAGACTTCTTCACGAAAGCTCTGAACGAAAGGAATGTTGAACCTCGTGTCCCTGAAGCGAGAACGGTTCACTGGACCACTTTGGCTCGTGACAGGGACGAATGGAGACGTTACTGGCGCCCGCTCGAGGATTTCGATGATCAACGGGACGACAGGTGATACAGGTGATGCAATATTTTACTCAAAGTATCTTACAAACTTCAATCATCTTATGAGAAAAGTTCAAGAGTGCTTTTATGAACATTCCATGAAAAAAACCCAACAATACGCGAATAAGAAAAATTTGATTTTAATTATCACGACATCGCCATAACTCCATGGAAAAAGTCATTTCCCATTTCAAATACGTGAAATACTCGCATGATCCTTTCGACGACGGCTGAGAATAATTAATTAGAGCAGAACAGAGTAGAATAGTTGTCGAATAGTACGAATACAGTCGAATATTATTACCAGTAGGAGGCGGTCGATCAGCTGATCGACTTTTCGCTATCGTTGCTCCAATGCGAAAGTGGTGAGCAATTAGATTTTGTAGTCAGCCTAGCGAGGGGCGGAGGCTGACCATGCTACACTCTCCGGCCCTTTATTGTGTCCAGTATGGTTTTCGATCTCATTCCGGCACATATGGTATCAGAGGGGCCTCGAAATCAGACCATGTGCAAATCTCCGAAACCATTTTTATCGTTACATAAATTTTCTAATCTATTAGGGTGTCCGAAACGTTTTGAGGAATCCAGTCGGTTTTTTTTCAACGCAAAATAAACCACACTTTTATCACTTGTATCCAGCTTGTCCTCGCCAACTTCGCTATTCACGCAAGTGGACTATGAGCCATTAATTCCGATCCTGCGCACGTCGTTTCCATTGTTGGCCAAGCATATTCACCATAATATCGGCACACCACAATTTAGGCCTTCCCGGCGCTCGCTTGTGATCCAATGGGGTCTAATTCGTTAGTCGGAAGGTCATCGGTTGTCTTTCAATCGTGCCACATGATCTGCCCATTCTCTTTTACGTTTATACATTTCCTGAACAACATCAACAAGGCCACTTCGTCTTCGCAGCTGTGTATTTGTGATATGTTCACGAAGTGACAGTTGCAAATTCTACGTTCCATTGATCTTTGCATCACAGCAATCTCATCATCTGCCTTCCTAGACCACCAGCATTCTGTGCCGTACAACAAAGGGTATCACCGTCGAGTGGAACAAGGACGCTTTCACTTCTATTGGGAGGTCTTCGTCTAGTAATAACTTTGGGATTTTGTTGAAGCTAGACCAAGCTGCTTTCCTGCGCCTGCCGTACTCTCCGGTGCTGCCTTCTGTGAAGCTGAGCTGACGTGCGAGTTACTTAAAGCTCTTTACTTCCTCGATGGTTTCGCCATTTATTTTGGCAGTCGCTGTGGGACTGAACTGGTTGTGCATCCACTTCGTTTTTGACAAATTCATTTCAAGTCCGACTTCGCTCGATTTCATCTGTAGTTGCATAGGTTTCTCTTGGAGCTCTGTTCGACCGAGTCGTATGCTTTTCTGTAGTCGACAAACGCCACGCATGAGGGAATCCGATACTCTCCATATTTTTCGATAGGCTGTACAATGTGAAGATGGTCAAGTGTGGAATACCCACTTCGAAATCCCGCTTGCTGTCGGCTCATGGCCATGTCCAGGTCTCCGAGTAGGCGATTTAGGATTATTCTGGTGAATGTCTCATAGATTGATACAGCAATGTGGTGGATCTGTAATTGTCCAAACTTTCAGGGATCGTCTTTTTTCATAGCAGCATCGTCCGTGATTTCTTCCATCAAGCCGGAATCCTCTTCTCATCTGCCGTATCTGAAGCACTCTGCCAGCGCTTTGAGTAGAGGTAATCCACCTGCTTTCAGTTCTTCGGGACGTATGTTGCCGCAACCTGGGCTTTTTCCCGCCTTAATCTGTTTAACTGCATGCACCACTTCTTCCCACATAACATCTGGGACCGGTTCTTCTGCAGTGATTACTTTTTTATGCTAAGCAATAATGGATTTGGTTGATGTCATCGTTAGCTTATAGTCGAGGAGCTTCTGTCCCACACTTGGTCGCCCTTGACGTTACTTAGTCAAGGAATGGGCGATATTTGCAAAGAGCTCTGCTTTGAAATAGATTTTTGCGTAAAACTTCGATCATGATCATGATCATGGATTTGGGATAGAGATCGTCTTTTCTCTTTCCTGACACTTAAGGAGGATTAGTCTGACAGGAGTCCAGAACATTGTCGGTATTTGAGGTCAATGGACGTCCGGTTAGACGGAATTCGTCGCAGCAAATCTCTTCTCAGAGGGAGCGACGTGCCACTGACGGTAGGTGACAAGAAAGGGTACACTGCTGCCCATCAGTCTCCATATCTCGTTCCAGGCCTGAGTGTCGAAGCGATCAGTTCCGTAATGATGAAACAGAAATATCGATCAGCTATAGCATTGATCTATCAACAATATGTTCTTACCCTGCCATCGTATCTATAGTCCTTCTCAAGCGCGTTCGGGAGCAACATGCAATCATAGATGAGAGGCATAGTTTTCTCAAAACCTGAGCACGCTAATGAAATAAGGCTACTTTCATAGATGTGAAGATTGCGGTGCTCCACGTTAATCTCGAGCCGTTCACTCGAAATTGAATTCTTCCGATTCTTCATGGCACTTTCTATGAGGTTCGTCGCACTGTCAATTAAATGTCAATATGGACTACAGCAACTGAGGCCAACTACAGGACTTCTGCGGCTGTGATCGCAAATTCCTTCGGCAGATCCGAGTTTCTGAATTATTTTTATACGGTATACGTTTTCTCAAGCACGAATGTAGAAGCGGCTTTGACGAATTAATTTGACAGTCTACTGCGTCTGCTCATTCAATTCCCAGTGCAGTATCAACGAGTCGTTACGACCGTTGTTCATCGATAAACGCCCAAGACACTGAAAATTACTGTTTTCATTTTTTTTGCTTCCCGATTCTGCTGTTTTGTGCCTTAGAGTTTCTAACCCTAAATTTTCTATCCGAGATTTTTTGATTAGTTTGAAGAACTCTATTTCGCTCATTCGTCTTGTTTTTCTCAGCCAAGTCCTTCTGTTGGAGTTGTGGCAATCAAAGCTTGGCCACGGCGGTGGAATCGTAGTTTTCCGCTACTGTTAAAACTTGTTTAAACCTTTACTCCTTGGCCCTTCCAGCCTTCTACGGTTCATCGACTTCCAACTTGTTCTGGTGCTGTTGTGGTGGCAACTCATGTGCGAGAACAGCGCACGCCGGTGCAGAGGGTAAGTGAAGCAATGATGTCTTCGATGTGTTTCTGCTTCCATTGTTTTCGGTTTTATTCAAGTTTCTATTGTTTTATTAGGCTCGCGAGGCAGCAATAATGAACCAGTGTAACGAAATGCTGCGCAACGCTAATTCCTTGGATCAGAATGGTAGACAGCTAGTAATAGCATTTATGACTGGAAACAAATGTGAGTAGATTACAGCAAAACAACTATTCCTACATCGATGTTCGCTGAGTAGTTTCAGACTATTCAGCCGTGGTTGTCTAACTGTATTGCAACACTTTTCTCAGTGTCTTCTTTATATTAGCGCAAAATACGATAATTTGCAGGTAATCCTCGTCCTGAACTTGGGCATATAATTACCATGAAACTTTCGGAGACGATTGAAGACGGCCTGGCAGATAATCAGATCTGTAAGATGAAGGTAGAAACTTTTTTTCAGGTTCGTTTTGTTCGAATGATTTGCTATTTTTTCGGAGTCTTTAATGTCTTCAAATAAGAAGCTCGCGAAGCAAATCAGTGCTACGTAGTACCGTCTTGGAGATCTTTCTGTCTGGCTTCTCACTCGTTTCGTCTGTATATCTACAAGAACTTGGCAAGAACAATGTACACGGCGATTCCTAATTAAAGGCGCAGTTCACGATAATTTTGGGGTATCCGGTTTCCAACGATTGATGAAATTAACAGCTAAGAATAGTGCAAAGGTAAAGGGACGTGAAAACGGCGAGGAATGTAAAGCTTCGAAAAAGTGCTAAAATTAGGGGTTGGACGATATTGTGACCACAAAACTTGCATGGAAGGGGTACTTAGTATCGTTGCGTACACCTAAATACAATAAGCCAACAATGTTCAAAATCGTTTCCATTGTAATGAGAGAATAGTCTAAGGGGGAGCTTGAATGCATTTATCATGAACTGTGCCTTCGAATGTTGAAAACAATCAGGAGTCCTCTCACAGTCACTCTTGGTTGTATGCCGTTCTCTTTAGGTTTACTGTGCTCACACCACATACATTACACTCTAGGCACTTTCAAAGTTCAACGACGCGCTTTGAAAACACAGTTTTGCCAGACACATGTTGACAGAGCTGTACACATCTGGACAACGTTTCTCGCTTGGCGGAAGGCAGTTGAAGACGTCCCCGCCACTGTGACGGCCATTGCGCTGCAGCATGTTGTTTTCAAAGCGGTGAGCAAATCCGTCGGAAGCTGCGCAGACGTCGTCAAGAGATTTGCGCCCAGTGACTAACGTTGCACAGCCCTGTCAGCTTGTGCCTAAAAAGGCTGCGTCACAAGGCACGTCCTTAACACATTGCGTACCGAGTGCATCACATGGTGATGCACGCATATACTTGCCCGCGTGGCCACGTGCATCACATGGTGATGCACGAACTTCACCCTCAAGTTTCTGCTTTCTTTATGAAGCAATGCTAGTCAAAATTTGCAAATATATGTTTTCGAACATGCTGAACAACATATCTACTTGGGACTCCAACAGCTAAGGAAATATGGAGCGTCCATACACCATAATATTAATCATGAATCTAACGCTGTCTGTCATGAAAAACTTGTAAAATCTCATTGAATTGCTGAATGCATAGACATCGTCGTTTTGGATTCCACTATCCTCGATAAAGGGTTCTACACTTGGTTGAACTATAGTCGAGGACCAACCGGCGTCAGACTTCCCTTCACTATCTTCGTCATCGCTTGATTCAACGGTATCAGCGAGCAAACCATCATGAGCACCCGTAACATCTTCATTGCCTGTTTCTTCATCGCTATCAATAAGAAATTGCACGAATGAGTTCTCCAAAGCTTCCTTCTGGAATACTACCAGAATCGATAACAGAACTTCATTCGACTTGAAGTTGCTCTCCTGGAATGAGACGAGGGGACACAAAGTCAATGTGTGGAAAGAAGCGCACCTTTCGCCCGGTCGGAACACTTTGAAGTCAAGAAACTTCGGCCGGTTGGAACTGCTATCGCAGGATTTAGCACTAAGTAGATTTTATGTGATTTAGATTTAGCACGCACAGTTGACCAACAAAATATCTCTTAAGTCACAGAGTGTTAAACAGATATGTTGTTCTTCATATGCGAAAACCTTATAGAAAAAAGCCGGATCCCAATAGTAGAGTATTCACAATGTTAGAAGAAAACCGTTCCTTGTGGCCAAGTGCATCACATGGTGATGCACGCTGCGAGCCGAACCAAAAATCGCTTGGCCACGCACACGGGAAAAGGCGCCGGTACGCAACGTGTTAAACTCTGAAAGCGTCCTCTGGCTTACATCATTTGCGGTATAGAAGGCTGTTTGAAGATGGATTATCAAAGTGGGGAGTGGAAGCGACTTCGCAAATGTCGATTACTTCAACCACATGAGTTGGAAAACAACAGTGAGCAGTACATGTATATTTCCAATGAGGATTATCATAACCAAGCGCAACAACAGCCGACGTAACCAGCGCAGTTGACAGTTGTTTTCATCTTTTTAATTGTTGTTGTTTCACAAAGTTTAGCCTCGAAACTAGCAATGAGGAACTTCGTCATATAGTCTGCACTCTATTTTACCTAATCATTAAGCTCCTAGTGCTGCTTAAATCCTGCTGATTGTAAATTTACGGGTTTCACCGCTTTTGTGGTGAAGTTTGGAAACGTTTTTGTTGTAATTGCTTGGAAGTCAATTTATTTGTGTTTTCCTATGTACAAGGTTAGGTTTTTTCCCCTTTAGGTGTGTTTCGATTACTCATTAACGGTTTGTCGTTGTAGCTGAAAAGAATTGAAAAAAGTCACTGTTTATACTGTATATATTATAAAGATGTTATTTGCAGAAAAATGCCATCCCACTCAAAAGCTAGGCTTCTCAGCAGACCCCTTCATTTATCGTGTTATCCCCTATAAATGATTTTTATAATGTTTTTACGATGTGAGCAATTTCTGTCCGATATGTTTCACATTGTTCACTATCAGTGATATAATCCCCAATCACTTTGGACTCCTGAATGTACCCCTGATATAGTCGTCGTGAAGTGATAATGGTGATGTCATAAATAAAACTCCTTGATGAACTTGATGGAAGAAAAATAGTAAGAGATATTCTCGTCGAGAGGCTCGACAAAACTACCTATCACTGGTGCTAAATAAAACTGCCGCACATTGTATTAACCTGCTTTCATGTCATGCTTGTTTTATTGGAGGGCAAGACGGAATGAGGTCTGATCGTAGTGCTCATTCAGTATGTAGTACTGTGTAATCCGTTCACAGCGAGCATGGCGCAGGTTGTCCCCCCTTTACTGCGCCGAAATTATGTAACCGCGTGAGACGACCACTCAGACAATTACAGGGCCGTTGTCAGCTCGAAGGTGAAGTGACTCCGACTTCTTTTATAGACAACTCCCTTTTAAGAGGATAGAACCCAAATGGAATAGCTGGCCATTCCTCAGTGGCCGCTACCATAATACTCAGCGTGGGGACGTCTCGAGAAAATAACTGTAAAGGGCGCTAAAACTCATACATTTGTGTTGCAATGTGTCAGGTAATTGACGTTAGAGGAAGGAATTTGACACCTCCGTTACAGAGGACGGGGTACATCGCTTTTCGAATTGATAGAGTAGATCTCGCAAGCAAGGTGGAGCTCCACTTCAGAAATCACTCCAACAAATTAGGGGAGAACTAAACCCTAGATAAAGAAATATTTTGAACATACAGAATTCGTATATATCACCGAAATTATTGCATTCGTGCAGGTGATATGTGGAATATGTATTGACGCAAAGTACTCGCTCATCTTTAAGCTTGCAGAACGATAAAAACGATGGGTATTGTGGGTGCTCGTTGTTGGAAAGTCCACCAAACGTCCTTCAGGGGGCCCTGTTAATCATTTCACAGGTTTTACAGGAATTTATGACTTTTCAACACATTGAGGAGAAGTAATCAAGAGCCAACCCATTTAGGGGTGCTCAGTCGATACGTCTATATATCCCCACTCCTCACTAAGTCTTTCATGGGAAGCCTTGGCAATAGTAAGTCTACAGTTCATGAACCTTGCAAATCCACTATACTTCGCAATGCTTCTGCGCCATACACCAACCCTCATTCTCGGTGTTTCATTTTCCCAAACATCTATTTCACTTCACGAAAACCCCGAGATTTTGTGAATGTACTTCTTTCCAAGTCCGTTGCATACTGCGTCTTTTTCAACCAAAGATATACAAATACTTGTTGTTTAGATACATGTTTTACACTGGACGACGAACTTTTATGCAGTTGCTATCATAACACGCCTTTAATTTTTGAAATTTCACTCGATCAATGAGGTTATGTGAACTGATGTTGAAAGTGGTGTTCGCCTTACGCACTCAGGTGCAGAAGGGTTCTTCCCGCTTCAATTCGCACCCTTGGACGTTTTGGCTCGAAAATGAAGGGCAAAACTAGCAGACGGAACACGATTACAACTGCATCACTCGACCGATCTTCATTCAAGACCAAGTAGTGAGAGCTCACCAGGGGAAGCTCCAACTTCCCATGGAACTTTGGATCTGGGTATACCGGTGGAGTTTTTAAATCTGCTATCTAATTTAGAAAAAGCTGCTAAATGGGTCTAGAGAAGAAGTTGTGAGCGTTCAAAATTGCCCACTCAACATAGGGAGGTAGTGTCAATTGAAGTGAGCGCTTGCCCGCAGCGACCGTTAGGGTCACTGATCGCGCATTGCCAGTGCTCTTCCCCTTCAGGCGAGCGAGGTTTGTTTGCTTCTCGACGCCGCGCCGGCTTCTGCAAAATATGCTTTTTTTCCGCATGAATGCCCTTATACCGTTTTTTGTAACTGATTGGAGCTAGCGCCTCATCTCGGTTATCATTTTTAATCAGCCCACTTTCTGAAAGGGATTTCTTCACGTTCTTTCATTTTTTTACTGCCCATTACTACTACAAACTATTCACCGACGTCCCTGTTTCTGACGTGGCACGGTCTTCCAGCCTTTATCTTTAGGAGGGGACCGAACAAGACCCGAAGTGGCAGAGAACTGTTCGTTATGAATTTTTCCGTTGATATTCCGCTCGTTAGGTAGACGTTGACCGTTAGCCAAAAAAAAAAAAACATGATGCTAATGCCTAGGCGGAATTAAATTGAGCAGCTTTGTGGTTCTTGCTTGACCGAAGAATAGTACAGCAATTAACAAGCGGAGAAGTACTGAATAACATCACATTATTTGATTAAGTAAATGTTCTCTGTTAGGAGAAACCAATTATCTTTCTACTTAACCGTGATGCTTACACTTGTCCATTATTTGGAAAGATCTCGCTATTTTCTTCCGAAACCAGATCCATTCTACCAGAGCTTCGCCTGGTCTACAGATAATACATACATAACAAGAGCTTTATTACCTTACTGCAGAGGGTGAGAAAAATCTTCGTTAGCGTGCATAGCTCAAGTGGTAATTTATATCAAGAAGTTCCTTGCAGATTGCAGATTGCAGATATGTCGACGACCGCTTATCTACGATGAAACCATTCAGCAGAATGTTTGATTATCAGAATAAGATAGTCCTCTCTAGATTTAACGCTGAACTGCTGAGAGCATCACGCTCGATATATTTCATTTTGTATTAGTGGTTGATCATAGCCCCGTCCACCTCAGTGCAGATCCTTTCCACTATAAGAACTTGGCCACCCTTCTTTTAACTGCTACGGACCATATTATCCTTTATCAGTTTTTAGACCTAGCCCCGCTTTCCTGTGCCAGCTCCGCCCACTTCGAGGACTAAATCACATTTGTTGCGATACCTTTAAGCAATTTTTTCGCGTGTCTAGAACGTTTCTGAACGAAGTTATGGAATTTTGATCCAAGCTCCATCCACTTTGATGCCAATCCCGCCCACTTCGAGTATTTGACCGCATTTGTTCCATTACCTCTAACAACTTTTTCCCGCATTCTGAAACTTTTCCGAATGAAGTTACATTCACATTAAAAAGTAGCTTCCATCTCAACGCATAGCCCGGCCATCGTGGGCGGGGCTTCGCTACGGCTACGCATGCCCACCACCCAAGACCTTGGTCACCCTTTTTATTTTTTTTTTGCTGGCCTCTGCCTTCGTTGGATCGAGTTATGAATCTCCGTAAAAAGTACGCCCACTGCGAGAACGCCCCGCCCATCCCCGGTAAGTTCCCTCTAGTTTAATTGATGACCCATCCTTCACCTTTGCCAATTTTTTCTCGTCGGCTGGGCGTTGTGGAACCTAGTTAATAATTTTTCGCTCATGACACCGCCCACTCGTGTCATGCCCCGCCCCTTGTGGGCGGAGCTCCTTTAAGCTCACATGTGCTCTGTTGGTCCTTTCCTATGCCCAACCCATCACGATCTTGACCCGATTTCTGCAGGTGCTTCTTCAATTATTATCGAATTTCCGTATAAACAAACAAACAATCAAACAGACGCGAGCGCTTTATATATAGTGAGAAGCATTGAAAGGGATCGTTTCCAAAATGTGACGTATTAGCACGAAGTCTGGAAGCAGGGCTGTGGGCTAGGGACCGGTCCTGCGCTAGAAGCTCGAAGCTCTATATGTAATAACTTTTGCCACCGCTGAATCGCCAGTCGTACTCATTCGATACTTTTAAGGCACGAAATCCACATAGAAAAATTTTCGTCGTATGTCAATGTATAAAAATTCTACTGACCTTCTATTATAGAATGACTCTGTGCTTACTGTGTGTGTACGGCTAACTGATCTTTGTCATGGAGCGGAAGCGAGGAGACGAAAAATAAACTTTGTGACTCTTTGACCGTTCGAACGGATGATGGTTCATAACAGTTAACATAATGGGGCTTGCTGAATTACTTGCATAGACGGTGCGGTCAACTCTTGTAAGATATGAAAAGGGCGAGTACGGTGGGGCAGAGGCACTGCTATATAGAGCGCTAGCTAGCTCTACAAAATGGAGACACACTGCAATCGTTAGCTTGAATTGATTACAAAAAAATTTTATAAGAGCACTTATTTGAAAGGAGCATATTTCGCAAAAGGTGGAGCGGCGTCGAGAGCAAACTCACCTGGTTGCTTCCTGAACGGGACAAAACTGCCACTGCCCCACGGTGTTAGGGGCAACTGCGCATCGCAATTGACACTACCTTTCCATGAATTAAGCAAGCAAACCGTGGGCTAAAAATTTTTTTGGTAAACTCTTTCAACAATCTTAATTTCTAAATGTGTAAGTGGCATTATAAATTCTATCGACATGTCTTGGTCCCAATCCGAAGTTCCATGGAAAGTTGAAACTTCCCCTGATCGGCGCGGAATTTAAAACAAAAATAAAGAATACAGTATAACGTAGCCGCCACCCTATGACGTCTAAGGGATAGCCAGGTAAGATAGCCAGCGATGTAAGATATAATAGAATAGAAAGTAGTGTATAAATGAGTCAAACTAATTATCAGTCACTGACAGAATCAGCTAAGGTTTCTT